TGAGTTTTCTTCATGAATCATGAACAAACCTTGATAGAATGATGAATCTGACTTCAAAATGTTGATGTTGACCAAAAATCTTGAAGTTTGACTGTAACTTGGTCAAAGTTGACTTTTTGCCCAATACAGTTGATTTTCAATCATCTAACTAATTAACTGAGCAAACTTGTGCTGCAAGGCTTGAAATTTAGCATGAGGATACTTCCATGCATATGAGAAAACATGAAATCCCCTTGAGGCATTAGAAGTCCATTTTTCCTTGCGATAAACAAAACCCTAGTTGTAGGTCAACTGCTTATGAGAAGGGTTTGTCTGATCGATCCTTGAGTAGTCTTGAGCAATTGAGAACCCTAGGAGAATGAGGAGGTATCTTGAAAAATGGGAGGGAAAATTTTGGGGTACAACATTTTGCTTGCTTTATTTTAAGGGGTTTGTTTGGGTTTATGTGCTTGTAATATCCTACATCCGGATCTAGGGATACCTTAGGTAAGTAGCAATAGATCATAAGGGTTGTACGATGTAGAACGATATGGATAATATGATGGCTACGTTAGTGAGACACTTTGGTTGGTACTGATGTTCCTTGAGTCAGTCAAGGATAACATTAGGCTTTCGCGCTGTATCATTAACACTAACTGACTTGTAGAACCTTAATTGACCCATCTTGGCCATTAGAAGGTAGTGAGATAGCCGAATTTGGTGTAGTCCAAGGTTGGTTAATACTCGAAACTATGCTCATTGAGATTTGACTTTCGGGATGTTTTGTGGCAAGCTGGTTTCCATGCTAAAATAAAGCATGCGAGAAAGATCGATGATATGAGATTCCTAGAGCCCGGTTACAATTTTAGGACAGGTTGAGCCAACTTAACTTTAATAGGGAAGGGTACTTACCTACGGACTTCATACACGCCTTTAAACCTAAGGCTCTTGTGTGAATTCTGTGTTTTTTCCACTTATCTAACATGAACATGACATTATAGCATCATATCATCATAACATAGCATTTTTACTAACAATTTCAAGGATCTTAGGGATTTATCATGCAGGATTATCATAAGCCAGATTTCTAACAAGGGGAAAGAGGATTTATTTTCCTCTAGCCAAATGCCATCAAGATCAAAGTAAATTCTCTTAAGTCAGAGGCTATGACCCACTGGATATGAAGAGCTTGATTCTTGTAGAAGGACATTCAAAGATGAAGACTTAAAGTTCTTCAGACAGAGCTGCAACGAGATTTAATTTCTAACATTTCAAATTTAAATCCCATGAGATCATTGAAAACATTTCATATGCATCTACATACCATACACATCATTACATATCAGGTTTCTAAGACAGGTTTTCTCATCTTCTTGTTGTTTATTTCCGACAGAAAATGGCTCTTGAACAGACAGTCAAAGATCTCCAGGCTCAGAATGCCCAGTTCCAACAGATGTTCTTAAACATAGCCAAGGGGAAAGAAGAACTTAAGGCGCTCATCACCAATGTGAAGAAGAAGAAGAAGACAAAGAAACCAATCAGCTTCCTTAACATGGGGTGGAGGTTCAAAGGTCCAATTAAGCGAGCTCAAGATCTTGATATCCCATAGAACGAAGATGACAACCACGATAAGGATGGTAAAAGTGTTAAAACTGAAAGAAACAACCTTGGTTCTGACAATTTTCCTGATGAAGAGGAAGAGGATTATTTGGATGAACAATACCCCTTACTGATGAGAAGTATAAGCTGTTAGAAGAGCGTATGAAAGCTATGGAGATCCAGAAGGTTCCTGGCTTGAACTTTGAAGAATTGGGTTTAGTCTCAGGAGTCATCATTCCTCTTAAATTCAAAACTCCTACCGTTTTCAAGTATGATGGAATTTATTTCCTGAAGTTGCATTTGAGATCATATGTTCGGAAAATTCAACCATACACTGCTGACAAGAAATTGTGGTTGCATTTCTTTCAACAGAGTCTGTCTGTAACACAACTAGAATGGTATTATCAACTTGAAGGTACCAATATTCGTACCTGGGAATATTTGGCTGCAGCTTTCTATAAACAGTGTCAATACAATTCAGATTTGGCACCAACCTGCATGTAACTATAGAGTATGTACATGTGTTCTGAGGAAGGCTTTTTAAGAGTACGCACATAAATGGAGAGATCTTGCAGGCAGAGTTCAACCTCCTTTGGTTGATAGGGAATTGGTTGACATGTTCACGAGCACGCTAACATGTCCTTTCTATAATCACCTACTTGGAAGTTCTTCAGCTGGTTTCACTGAACTGATATTAACAAGAGGCCTTATAATGGTAAGAAATAATCCAATGCTGCATACGGCCAGAAGAGTCGTAAAAAAAAGTGATCACAACCAATATGTGGGGGCAGTGTTGATCTCTAATCTTGCACCAGTACAACAATAACAACAGAATAATCAACATATACAGGTCTCACCCAAGAGATGGTTCACAAGAATCAACATGTCGTTGTCTCAAGCATTGCAATACATGTTAAAGGAAGAGCTAATTACATTGAAGGATCCTCTTCATAATCCTAATACTTCTTCCCCCAATTACAATCCCAATGCAAGGTGTACATATCACTCCAATAGTGTCGGACATGACACTAATAACCGTTGGATCTGAAGAATAAGATCCAAGACATGATTGACGCTAAGTAGATTGAATTTGATCCTCCAGAGACTCCTAATGTGATTACCTCTCCTAAGCCTAATCATGACAAAAATCAAGTCAACGTTGTGGAAGACGTTGATAGCGACTGTGACATAGACAATTGGATTTTCCTACTACCGCCAATGGGCTCAACAATTGGAAGGCTAAAGACTTTATACCAATCTTCATTAGTCAGGAGTAAATTATATTTTCTATTTTCTTGCTTTCAAGTTTTTGGTTATGTAATTTAAACAATAACTTTAAACCGTGTGCCTTACCCGGGGCATAATGGTCCATTTGTTAAGGTTGTCATTTTTCATCTACATATTTTCATTTAATAAATCATTGGATGTTTGCATTCAAATTTCGCGCTCTTTGTCTTTCTTTTACTTTATTGCTTGCAAAAAAGCTATGTGTTCTTACACACACCCACACAAAAAATTAAATATGCATATCCACCCTGGATCCCATTGATAAAAATTCTATAATTGCCAATTATGACTTTGAAAATCTGATCTACCAAGCCGAGGACGAAGGTGAGGGAGATTTTGAAGTACCTAGAGAGCTTGCTAGGCTGTTAATGCAGGAAGAAAGAGTCATACAACCGCATGAAGAGCCAGTTGAGGTTGTGAACTTGGGTACTGAAGAGGACAAAAAAGAAGTCAAGATAGGTGCCAACCTAGAAGACAGTGTCAAAAAGAGGTTAATCCAGATGTTGCATGACCATGTTGAGATCTTTTCTTGGTCGTACGAAGACATGTCAGGGCTTGATACTGATATCGTGTTTCACCGACTACCGATGAAGGAAGGTTGTCCTCCTATAAAACAGAAGGTTAATCGTATGAGTCCCGAGATGTCTGAAAAGATCAAAGCTGAGGTTATGAAGCAGTTCAATACAGGTTTCTTAGCTGTTAGGTCCTATCCTCAGTGGGTTGCAAATGTGGTGCCAGTACCTAAGAAGGATGGCAAGGTGCGTATGTGTATAGACTACAGGGATTTGAATAGGCAAGCCCCAAAGATGACTTTTCGCTTCCGCATATTGATATTCTGGTTGAAAACATCGCTCAACATAAAGTATTTGCCTTCGTGGATAGTTTCACTGGTTATAATCAAATCAAGATGGCACTTGAAGACATGGATAAGACTATCTTTGTCACACACTGGGGCACTTTCTGTTACAAATTTATGCCTTTTGGTTTGAGGAACACCGGCGCAACATATCATTGTGCTATGTGTCATACCTCAAATTTGCCCTACCCTAATATTCTATTTAGGTTTCTACTTAATTCATATTTTATAGTTTTATTTTGATGGGGTGTTTAAAATCAAAGAGGGGTTCACTTTGTAAAAAGGTCATGGGCCTTTCTCAATTAGAAAAGGCCCATATTTTTTTATTCAGTTCGAATATAAAAAAGGGTGTATAAAACAGTTTGTCTCGTTTAAAGACCCAATATAATTAAGTTAGATAAGCTCATTTAGACTTTTTAAAACAATTCGTTCGTTTTAAATAAAAAACGGGCCCATTAGACTTTTTTGAATAGGTTTTGAAGAATAGGTGAAGTAATGTTTTTTTAGTCCAATAAGTTGAACATATGGCCCATTTCGGTTTTTGGATTTATTTTGTAAAAAAATGATTTAATTTAACTATAACATTATTATTATTATTATTATTATTATTATTATTATTATTATTATTATTATTATTATTATTATTATTATTATTATTATTATTATTATTATTATTATTATTATTATTATTATTATTATTATTTTTACTATTATTAATCTTGATTATAATTAAAACATGATATTAAAAAAACTTATTTAAAAGTGTTGTTTTGTTTTACTAAATAAAAGTGTTGTTCTTCTCCACGTTCCATTTTCAAACCATTTTCAAACCATTATTTTAACCCAAAACAGCATGGCCCATTAAAGGTTTATTGTAAGTTTTTAAAAAAAAAATTCATTTTTTTGTAACAGGCCCAATCATTGTTGGTCCAATAAAAATGATAAACAACGCTTAGCACAAAACAAGAGAAGAACGCGTACTGTTTGAATCCATTTGTTTCTTTTTGGTCATTGTAGAACGATTCATCCCGGAAACAAATCAGTATTTCATAAATACAAAATCATATATAAACATAAATATCTTTACACTTCCAGAAACAAATGACAAACCAATTCATTGCAAAACAAAAACAGAAACAATTTAAATGTCCTTTCCTAAAAACAATTACAGACGATTTAAGTTCATCCCTAATATATAATTCCTAGTTTGCTATAAAAAAAGGGAGGAATCACATAGACGAGAGGAGGACAATACAAGAGTGAAAAAGAAAAATATAAGTTACAGAGGAAAAGAAGAAGTAACCCACCGCTCCAACTCCTCACCCGCGCCGAAATTGTACACGCTGCCAGACGCTACAACAAAAACAAGCTTAACCTTTCCCATACACTTCCAGATCGCGCCGCTATAACCTCTGTCATGCACAACCTGCAGTTCGATCAAAGCACCGCGACTCCCTCTTAAGCTCCAATCGATTCCACCGCCCTGAAGTCCAAATCCGTCACACTCCCTCCGTCAACCATCCTCCGACATGGCTACCTCACAATTTCGGCCAACAGCCGCGAACTCACAACCACGAGTCGCACAGCCTCGTCACTGACGACCTCCATCCCCGGCTACCATCAACACGAGTCCGAACCCTAGCCCTCGTACACCACCACAACCTCATCATCCTCGATGTTCTCCTGCACCTGCTAAACAGAGGGAGATAATTAGTAAATCGGGACGAAAAAAAAACGTGATCGGAAGGACGGGCATAGCCGCCACTGGGTCTGGTTCCTAGTGTTTGTGGGTGAGAGAAATTAGAAAAGAGGAAATGGAGCCGCGAGGTAGAGAAGAATAATGTAATATCTTTTTTTGTTTTCTCGTTTTGTTTTGTAATGAGAAATATATTGCTTACCCAAACCTTTTTTGCCTTAGGCCAGGCCCAACAACTATCTCCGCCCTCCCTTTGTTTATTTTACTAATCACATTTGAATTTAACACCCCCTTGGCCTTTTGGGCCTGAATCCAAAATCTGAATTCAGGCCATTTCTATTAGAACTTTCCACCTTTTACTAGTTTAGTATAAAACGCACCCCCTCACGTTTTTATTTTATTTTCTTTATTATTTCAAGATTTTTCCTTTTTATATTTGTTTATTATTTTAATTTCATTTATATATTCATTTATTTATTTTTATGTTTATATGTAGTTATATATTTAAATTTTTGTAATTATAATATTATATTATTATTTATTTTTTATAAATAATTAATTATCTTTAAAACTCATTTAAAATATAATATTATTTATTTTGCATTAAATCATAACTTTTAATTATGTATTTAAAAAAATTTTCACCATATAATTTAATTTAATATTTTACATCAAAATATTAAAACCCGCGCCATTTACCAAATTACTACGTCCACAAGCGACACATGGCAAATATCTGACCATGTGATGAGGAGACTATATCAGACTCCCTCGCTCTACATATAAAAACATACAACCAAGCAAAAAATTATTTTTGCAAATTAAATTAATTCGAACAATTAATTTTTGAAAAGGAATACGAGTATATTTAAATTAAATGTGTACTTGGTCTAACAAACTCCACTATTCACACTCTTAGACTACATATGCGGGAAATTCAAGATATATTTCGCAATCCACACAAAAATACAAACAACACCGCGAACTACGAAATGAGACTTTGATTCCTCCTAAGAGGATACGTAGGCACGCGATTAAAATCGTGGTGAGTCCCCCTAACTAAAATTCAAACCCTTTTCCCAAATAAATAAATAAAAACCCTATTTCCTAAGAACGCGCTTCTAAACCTAGTATCCTTGCAAACAAGGTAGATAAGGGGTGCCTAACACCTTTCCCTCGTCTAGAACCGAGTCCAAACCTAGAATCTCTGAATTTCTTTTAGGGTTATTCCTTTATACTCCCTTCCTTTAGGATAAAAATTAAGGGTGGCGACTCTGATTAAAATACCAGTTGCAACAGCTGGCGACTCTGCTGGGGACTCAACCCTAGGTTTAGAAGTCTCTCCTTTATGTTTTAGGGTTTTTGTTATTTTTTGGGTTTTATTATTTTCTTATTTATTTATCTGCTTATTATTTTTATTATCATATTGTATCTATGGTGGGATTTAATTTTCAAAAAAAGAATAATTTCAAAAAAACCTTAGAAAAAAGGTTCGTCTATTATCCAAGGGGTTACATCAATCCTACGAGTTTATGCGACGACTTCGCCCAGAGTCGGTGAAATTCCGCAAAAGGAATACCTATGGAGAGACATCCTCTTGGGAAGTAGGACTTTGGAATGACACATATGACTCTTTGTACGACCTTTAAACCCAAAACTCGTGATGAGACCTTTCATGACCTAGAGACGAAAGTTTCGGCTTGTAAAGAGACTCCGCTTAAGGGAGGCCCTTGTGCCTTTCCCTCTAGTGTCATTCATGATACCCTTAAGGAAGTCACATTATGTGGAGGGTAGAATATCCATAGGTCAATACTAAGAACCTACCTTCTAAGGATACATTTCACAAGTCTCACTATAATCTTTAAACCCGCAAGGGTTATCTTTTCACCTTCTACTAGCCCGTAGGGCTTCCGTCTATGTTGTTATCCTTATCCCGTAGGGACTTCTCATCATCTTTAATTTACCACAATCCTTAGGGAATCCCTTCCTGTCTCAATCTCTGAGATATTGTAGGACATCATCAAATCTATGTCTTTTATCATTTTTGTTCGTAAGGAGTCCCTGTCTGTCTCAATTTCTGAGTCGGAGTAGGATATCATCATCAAACCTGTATAGGATACCCCTACGTCTATCATCGTACTACGTCTACATCGCATTTGATATCCATACCCAAGAATTTTCATACATTTTCACTCTTCATCCATCTGCATAAAACTTATATCTCTTCCTCTCACAGAAAACTTCCAACCATAGTCCAACAAGGCGATTCCCAGATACTCAGAGCAAACTCGAGATAGCTCGCGAAACTAGTGTAAAGTTAGCTACAACAATGGAAGAACGTCAACAAGCCGTGACTGAGGATGTCATTACACCTCAAGAAGACACTCAAGATCGACCTCATCCTATACAAGCTGCCATGGAGAACCTTGATGTGCAAGAACACGCCATTTTCCGAGACGGATATACTCCATCCTATGAATCTATTGAATATCATCAATTCACATTCCCTACGCCAAAACTTCAAGGGGGAAACCTGACCATGAATACTAAAGAACCCCTAAATCTTGAGGACACCAAAAGATATCGCATGCTGGAAAAGAGGCTTAGCGCCATAGAAGGACATGACACTTGTAACTTTGATGTTTCTGCTTTATGTTTGGTTGAAGATGTGGTATTTCCTCTAAAATTTAAGATGCCAGATTTCGAAAAGTACAGAAGTTCTAGTTGTTCTAAGACCCATTTGAAGATGTATGTTTGGAAGATGGCAGAATACCCATGCGACGACAAGTTACTTATCCACTATTTTCAAGACAGCCTTAGTGGAGCATCATTAGAATGGTACACACAATTGGAAAGAAACCACACTCCGACATGGAATTACTTAGCTTTGGCATTTCATAAGTGTTATCGATACAACACTGATATGGATCCAAGTCGCATACAACTACAAGATTTATCTCATAGGGGTAACAAATCTTTCAAACAATACACATAGAGATGAAGAGAGTTGGCTTCTTGAGTACAACCGCCTTTATTAGATAAGGAGTTCATAGACATGTTCATGTGTACTCTACGAGGTTAGTACTATGAAAAATGTTGGGCAGTATATCATCACACTTTTCTGACCTAGTAATAGTTGGAGAATGCATCGAGAACGACATCAAAACCAGAAAAATACAAAGCATCTCAAGTAACTCGACTGAGGAATCCCTTAGAGATTTCCAAAGGGAAGAAGAAAATGAAACAAGGGAAATATGGGAAACTTATCCTAAAACCCCGTCTCCTATGCCTTATCATCAATATTCATATGCAGTAGATGCTCAGTACCAACAACCGTCCTCTGGTCTTCAACACCAGCAGCCATGGCCTATACCACAGAGCCAGCAGGTTAAATTTCACCTCAACATCGACGTCAGAATCGGTAGGCTCGGAATTGAAACAATCACTATCAACGTCGAATCAGCATAGGCATCCAAACAACCAAAGAGGGGGAAATCGCCAGTTTGACCCGATCCCTATGACATACAGTCAATTATGGTCATATCTGGTACAAAATTCATCAATGACCCCTAGACAAACTAGATCTACAAAGTATTCATTTCCTCTTTGGTATAACCCGAATGTTCAATATGATTTTCATGGTGGAGTAGTGGGGCATTCGATTGAAGAATGCAACTCATTCGAAGAAGCGGTACAAGAGCTGGTTGACAATAAGCAATTAACTTTTAAAGAAGATGGCCCACATATGATGGAAAACCCCTCTCCCTGATTGGTGGATCATTACAGAAGCTTATCTCAAGGATAGTTAGGCTTTATCATTTCAAATTGTAATATCTTTTTTGTTAAGTTTTCATTTGTTATAAATTTGTACCTTTGGATTTGTAATTCTAATAAAATAAGCATGCATGTTTTTAAAATCAATCCATTCCATAAATAATCAACGACTTTCCATTTTTACTCTTCTTTTCAATTTTCAAATTTACAAACTCCGAGGGAGAATAATGAAAATACAAAATAATCAAATTTTGCTGATGTATGCTTTTTAATAGTAAGGCTTAGCTGACGATGTAAGGCAATATTTCTATTCCTAAATAGTGGAGAAATAAGGTGTTAAACCGTAGTTAACCCCCTCGAGCCAGAAGCCGGAGTTCTTTCTATTTTCTAAAAAACCCTTAATCTTAACCAGGGGCATGTTAAATTTCAATTAATTCGAAGATGCATTCAAATCCCAGGAGAATTGAAACAATCAAAGCATAGGTTCAAGCACATCTCTTTCCTCGATACATCATCGAGAGAACGATCTAAGCAAAGGTTCAAGCAGATCTCTTTCCTCGACTCATCATTGAGAGGACAATCTAAGCAAAGATTTGAGCACATCATTTTCCCCGCGTTCATCATCTGAGATTGAGGAATCAATAAAAACAAAGTCCTTGACGTCTTTCTTCCTCAACACATCAATCAAATATCAAGGAGATGATGGAGACAAAGCTTACAACAATCAGCATGGCAGTCACAAATTTTCAAAACAAAAAGCAAAAAAAAATAGAGAATTTCAAACAAAAAAAGTGAAAGCCCGCTAAGTCAAAGCAAATCAAAACTCGACTTAGGCAAAAGTTAGGGCATCCTGATGGATCAAAAAAATGTTTCAAAAAATTGATCCATGAAAAAATAAAAGATTGAAAATAATAAATTGGAGAACAATCATGTGACTGCCACCTCAAGAATCATCAATGCTTCTCATGAACGCTTGGGTCTTATCAACGCTTAGATCTTATCAATGCTCAGATCTTATCAATACTTTTCATCAGTGTTTGAATCCTATCAATGCTTCTCATCATTTTTGCAACTACGAAATTTCTCTGGGGGATTAAATGTATCTGTTGGATTAATTGAACTTAGGAATGAAGAACATCAAGTAGAATGGGGTGGGATAAATAATTTTGAGCTTTATATCTTTTGTTTCTTTAAACGACAAACCATGGCCATGTTACAACCTTCAAAAGTCCTAATTGAAGTTAGGTTCACTATGAAAGCATGCTCAACAAGATTTTCGTTAAACTAAATCCTATGTTTGTTAAAATTATTAATCACTTTGCTTCTTCAAATATCTATTCTTAATCATCCTTTTTTTTTCAATAATCAAACTTCAATTTCAAGAACTTGGATGTGCATCTAACATAATTACTTTTTCAAAATGTACAATTTTATCTACGAATCAATGCTTAGCACCAAGGAGATTAAAAAAAAATGGTTTGATCAAAGGCAGCCTTTTCAAGAAGCTTCTAACTAGGGGAAAAACATCTAAGAGGACCCCTATAAATAGGGGCAAACATTAATGATTTTAGGTGCATTTTACATGGAGATACTTTTGACAAGGGGTAATCATTCTTGATATTCAATCAATTCAGATTAAATTCCAAAGTGTTGTTCAATTAGGGGCATACCTCTCGAAGGAGCATTCCTTAATCAAGTTCTTATCACAACAAGGTGTGACTCGGTTTCCTCATGTTAACAAGCTTCTCGAGGCATTAATGATCAGGGGCAACCTTCCAAGACTTAGATGTTGGGGCAGTATGTATCAAGTTCATTCTACTGCACATAGGGTCCAAATCCCTCAAGCAACTTCGAGTACAAACTTTTCAAGCTTCAGATACTTGGGGCAATCTATGTCAAGTTCGTGTTCTTTCTGAGGGTACTTCCTCCAGATCTTGGAGATTGAGGAGCATGTCTTTCAAAATTCGAATGTTAGGGCAAACTACTGCGAGGCTCGAGCGAAAGGAGTTGGTATAAAAGGGTCTATTAAAGCCAAGCATTTTTCAGGAGTCTTTTAATCAGGGGCACGATGCAAAATAGTGAGATCATTCACATTATAATAAAACTACTTCCAAGCTCTTATCACTGAGAATCTCCTCCAAGACCCTACTAGAAAATTAGGGAAAGACAACCCACATAGAGGCAAGCTCCCCTCATTCTTTCACAATATCTAGAGGGCCTTCCTTCTACATCAACAATCATTAAGTTCAAAATCGAGTATTGGGGAATCATGCGAGCATAACACTCTACCATCATGTGACAAGAAACCTTATTGCCTAGGCAAACCCCCACGCTTTAATCATCCACGACCCATCACAGGGGCACCATAAAAAAGTATTCAAATCATAATCATATAGCATAAGGATGCATAAATCATGCATTAAGGTTTCCTCGATCCAAAATCAAGCTACTTATCATCTCATCCATCTAACAAAATCTGACAACATGGGTCGAGCATATCTCAAAAAGCCCAACTACGCATTCACATTTAAAAGTCCAACATCCATTTACATATATCCAAGTCATTCATCATATTTCATGCATCAATCATTACGTACATCCATCAATCACCTCATTTCATGCATCAATCAATCATTACATGCATCAATCAATCATTACATTTCATGCACCAATCAAATTTGCACGCATAGCATGAAACCTCATTTTATGTGAAGGCAATCATCATCGGCAATCAAGATACAAATTCTACATAGAATCTCGATAGTAGATTCCCCTGGTTAATCGAGGCAGGTGATTTTCCAGAAAACCTCGGCAGGTGGTAACCTTTCAATAGAATCTCGGTAGTAGATTCCCCTGGTTGATAACAGTAGTTGATTATCCAGAAGACCTCGGCAGAAGGTAGTTCGCAAATTGAATCTCGGTAGTAGATTCTCATGGGTTATCATGGCAGTTGATTATTCAGAAGACCTCGGCAGAAGGTAATTCAAATTGAATCTCGGTAGTAGAATCTCCTGGTTAATCACGGCAGTTGATTATCCAGAAGACCTTGGCATAAGGTATTTCATATTGAATCTCGGTAATAGATTCTCCTTGTTGATCACGGTAGTTGATTATCCGGAAGACCTCGGTAGAAGGTAATTCAAATTGAATCTCGGTAGTAGATTCTCCTGGTTAATCACGATAGTTGATTATCCAGAAGACCTTGGCAGAAGGTAATTCAAATTGAATCTTTGTAGTAGATTCTCTTGGTCGATCACGGCATTTGATTATCCGGAAGACCTCAGCAGAAGGTAACTTAAATTGAATCTCGATAGTAGATTCTCCTGGTTGATCACGATAGTTGATTATCCAGAAGACCTCGGCTGAAGGTAACTCAAATTGAATCTTGGAAGTAGATTCTCCTGGTTGATCACAACATTTGATTATCCAAATGACCTCGGTAGAAGGTATCTCAATTGAATCTCGGCAGTAGATTCTCCTGGTTGATTACGACAGTTGATTATCCAGAAGACCTCGGCAGAAGGTAACTCAAATTAAATCTCGGTAGTAGATTCTCTTAGTTAATCTCAGCAAATGATTATCCGGAACACCTCGACAAAAGGTAATTCAAATTGAGTCTCGACGATAGATTATCCTGGTTGATCACGACAGTTGATTATCCGGAAGACCTCGGTAGAAGATAGTTCAAATTTAATCTCGGTAGTAGATTCTCCTGGTTGATCACGACAGTTGATTATCCGGAGGACCTCGGCAGAAGGTAGTTCAAATTGAATCTTGGCAGTAGATTCTCTTGGTTGATCATGGTAGTTGATTATCCATAAGTTATCAACAAAATGTATTCCTCAATTGAATCTCAGTAGTAGATTCCTTGGAAGTCTCGATAGTAGATTTCTCATTAAGAGCCTCACATAATGCATATACATCATGAATGGCATCTTTCAAAATTTCTTAGGTTTCATCATTAGAAAGCTTATCTGTGCGAACTATATAGTTCAAACTTTAAAGCAGTTTGGGGTATTTTCTTCATGTTGATAGTTGGTTGAGAAGACACGACCAACATCATTGTGAGTTTGGGATATTTTCTTCATGTTGATAATTTTGGTTGAGACGACACAATCAATATCTCATCATGAGTTTGGGGTATTTTATTCATGTTGATAATTTTGGTTGAGACGACACAACCAATATCTCATCATGAGTTTGGGGTATTTTTTTCATGTTGATAGTTGGTTGAGACGACACGACCAACATCATCGCGAGTTTGGGGTATTTTCTTCATGTTGATGGTTATGGTTGAGACGACACAACCGACATCATCGTGAGTTTGGGGTATTTTCTTCATGTTTATGGTTATGGTTGAGACGACACAACCGACATCATCGTGAGTTTGGGGTTTTTCTTCCTGTTGATAGTCATAGTTAAGGACGACACAACTGACCTCATTAATGAATTTTGGGTTCCATCGCTTCAAATCTAGCATATTGCGTTTGGTTATCGAATCTTGGTTGAGGGCTGATACAACTAACATCGTCATTCCAAGTTCCAAATATCTGGTTTCAAGCTTTTTCAATTATCTATCCCCTAGATTGCGATAGATACGCGAATATTTAAGGTTATATTATTCATCCCCTAGGTTCTGATGGATAACGTAAGGCCATCCCTGTTGTCTTTTATCCCCTAGGTTGTGATAAACGCACAGGTTCATCCTCGTGCTATTTACTCCCTAGGTTGTAGTAAACATAACAAAATTTGTGTAAATCCATTGCATTAGTCTCCATGCAGCAATGTGTTATCAAACTTTGTTTTATTCATCCCATAGGTTGCGATGAATATACAAAATCTGCGTCACAAACTTACTATATTAGTCTCCTAGCATTAGTAGGTCAGCTCTTCAAAACATGTATCATTTACCTCCTAGGTTACGGTAAATAAGAAAAATCTTACAATCTCTCAGATACCGACGAGTTATCCGCGTCGTCGAGTCTTAATTCTAATAAACTTTAATCCAAACGCTGGTAAGATGATACATCATCACCCATGCCTATTCTTCACACTCATAGGAATGTTGTACAGTGTATTTTTATACTAGCTCAGACAAATCTTGGGGTTTTCGAATATTTAATAAACTTTCGAGTAAACGTGCGAGACCTACGTATTCTCGTACCATTCAATCGAAAGATGATTAAATAGGGGCAGTTGTCATACCCCAAATTTTCCCTACCCTAATATTCTATTTAGGTTTCTAGTTAATTCATATTTTATAGTTTTATTTCGATGGAGTGTTTAAAATCAAAGAGGGATTCACTTTGTTAAAAAGGTCATGGGCCTTTCTCAATCAGAAAATGGCCATTTTTTTATTCAGTTCGAATATAAAAAGGAGTGTATAAAACAGTTTATCTCGTTTAAAGACTCAATATATTTGAGTTAGATAAACCCATTTAAAATTTTTAAAATAATTCGTCCGTTTTAAATTAAAAAAAAGGGCCCATTAGGCTTTTTTGAATAGGGTTTTAAGAATAGGTGAAGTACTGCTTTTTTTAGCCCAATAAGTTAAACATATGGCCCATTTCAGTTTTTGGATTTATTTTGTAAAAAAATGTTATGTTTTAACTATAACTTATTTTTATTATTATTATTTTTACTATTATTAATCTTGATTATAATTAAAACATGATATAAAAAAAAAACTATTTAAAAGTGTTGTTTTGTTTTACTAAATAAAAGTGTTATTGAAGAAGTGTTGTTCTTCTCCACAGTCCATTTTCAAACTATTTTTATAATCCAAAACAGCATGGCCCATTAAAGGTTTATAGTAAAAAAAATTTAAAAAGCTTCATTGTTTTGTAACAGGCCCAAACATTGTTGGCCCAATAAAATGATAAACAACGCTTAGCCCAAAACAAGAGAAGAACATGTACTGTTTGAATCTCAAAGTAGAGATTGAATCCATTTGTTTCTTTTTGGTCATTGTAGAACGACTCATAAAAACAAAAACAGAAACAATTTAAATGTCTTTTCATAAAAAGAATTACAGACAGTTTAAGTTCATTCCTAATATGTAATTCCTAGTTTGCTATAAAAAAGGGAGGAATCACAGAGGCGAGAGAAGGACAATACAGGAGTGCAAAAGAAAAATATAAGTTACAGAGGAAAATAAGAAGTAACCCACCGCTTCACCTCCTCATCCACGCCGAAACTGTATACGCTGCCAGACACTACAACAATAACAACCTCAACTATTCCCATACACCTCCAAATCGCGCCGCCATAACCTCTGTCACGCGCAACCTGCAGTTCGGTCAAAGCACCGCAACTCCCTCTGAAGCTCCGATCGATTCCATCGCCATGAAGTCCAAATCCGTCGCACTCCCTCAGTCAACCGCCCTCCGATGCAGTAGCCTCACAATTCAGGCCAACAACCCCGAACTCACCATCACGAGTCGGGCAGCCTCGTCACCAACGACCTCCATCCCTGGCTGCCATTAACACGAGTCCGAACCTTAGCCCTCGCACACCCACTGCAACCTCATCATCCTCGACGTTTTCCCGCACCTTCCAAAAAGAGGGAGCGGATTAGTAAATCGGAAATAAAAAAACGTGACCGGAGGGACGGGCATCGTTGCTGCTGGGTCTGGTTCCTATGGTTTGTGGGTGAGAGAAAATAGAATAGAGGAAAGGGAACTGTGAGGTATAGAAAATCTGAATTTAGGCCCTTTCTATTATAATCTCCCACCTTTTACTAGTTTAGCATAAAAGGCAACTCTCATGCCCCTCACGTTTTTATTTTATTTTCTTTATTATTTCAAGAATTTTATTTTTTATATTTTTTTATTATTTTAATTTCATTTATATATTCATTCATTTAATTTTATGTTTATATATAATTATATATTTATATTTTTGTAATTATAATATTATATAATTATTTATTTTTTATAAATAATTAGTTATCTTTAAAACTCATTTAAAATATAATATTATTTATTTTGCATTAAATCATAACTTTTAATTATGTATTTAAAAACATTTCTCACAATATAATTTAATTTAATATTTTACATCAAAATATTAAAACCCGCGCGATTCACGAAATTACTACGTCCGCGAGCGACACGTGGTCAATATCTAGCCACATGATTAGAAGACTATATCAGACTCCCTCGCTCTACGTATAAAAAACATTCAAACAAGCACCAAATATTTTTCGCAAATTAAATTAATTCAAACAATTAATTTTTGAAAAGGAATACAAATATATTTAAATTAACTACATACTTGGTCTAACAAACTCCTATATTCACACTTTTAGACTACGTATGCGGGAAATTCAAAATATATTTCGCAATCCATAAAAAGTGTAAACAACACCGCGAGCTACGAAATAGGACTCTGATTCCTCCTAAGAGGATACGTAGGCATACAATTAAAATCGTGGCGAGTCCCCCTAACTAAAATTTAAACCTTCCCCTTAACTAAAATTCAAACCCTTTTCCCAAATAAATAAGGGGTGCCTAACACCTTCCCCTCGTCTAGAACTGAGTCCAAACCTAGAATCTCTAAATTTCTTTTAGGGTTATTCCTTTATACTCCATTCCTTTAGGATAAAAATTAAGGGTGGCGACTCTGATTAAAAAACTAGTTGCAACACTAAGGTAGCTTTGTTTCATGACATGATCCATCATGAGATAGAGGTTTATGTTGATGACATGATAGCCAGGTCTCAGACTGAAGAAGAACATCTTGACCACCTGCATAAGCTGTTTGAGAGGTTGAAGAAATACAAGTTGAGGTTGAATCCAAACAAGTGCACCTTTGGGGTAAGATCCGGTAAACTCCTAGGTTTCGTCATCAGATGTAAAGGTATTAAAGTTGATCCTGCCAAGGTTAGATCCAGTTAAGAAATGTCAGCTCCCTGTACTAATAAGGAAGTCAGAGGTTTCCTGGGATGATTGAACTACATCACTAGATTTATTTCCCATTTGACTGCTACTTGTGAGCCAATTTTCAAGTTACTGAAGAAAGATCAAGTAGTAAAGTGGAATGACGACTATCAGATGACTTTTGACAAAATCAAGGAGTACCTTCAGGAACCTCTAATTCTAATGCCGCCAGTTGAAGGAAAACTCCTTATCATGTACCTGGCAGTATTAGAGAACTCAATGGGGTGTGTATTGGGGCAACATGACGAGTCTGGTCAAAAAGAGCATGCAATATACTACCTTAGAAAAAGTTTACCGACTGTGAAACAAGATACTCACTACTCGAGAAAACTTGTTACGCTTTGGCATGGGCTGCTCATAGACTAAGATAGTATATGTTGACTTATACTACTTTGTTGATCTCTAAGATGGATCCAATAAAATATATATTCGAGAAACCCGCTCTCTCCGGAAGAATAGTAAGATGGAAAATGGTCTTAACAAAATATGACATCTAGTATATTACTCAGAAGACAATCAAAGGAAGTGTATTGGAAGATCATTTGGCTCATCAAGATGTAGATGGTTATCAGTCTATGAATTTTAAGTTCCCAGATGAGAATATTATGCTAGTTACTGATTATGAAGAACATGGACCGTATAAAGGACTTGAATCGGGATCCTGATGGACTATGGTTTTTGATGGAACTTCCAACGTGCTTAGTAATGGAATCAGTGTTGTGATTATCTCTCCCAGGGGTTTCCATGCGCCCTTCACCGCCAGGTTATATTTTGACTGTACCAACAACATGTCGAGTACGAGGCATGTATCATGGGTATCAAAGCTACCATCAATATGAGAATTAAATTCTTGAATGTATATGGGGACTCGACCCTAGTGATCAGTCATATTAAGGGAGAATGGGATATGAATCATCCATATCTCAGTCCTTATCGAGAGCATGTGTTGACATTAATTCCGTACTACGAGGAAATCACTTTTGAACATATTCCACGAGAAGAGAATCAATTGGCATACGGGCATTAGCTACCATGTTATCTATGTTCAAAGTCGTATGGAATAATGAAGCTCCTCGAATTACTATTGAGAGACTAGACGAACCGGTGCATTGTTACAAAGTTGATACTGATGGAGTAGAGGAAAAGCCTTAGTACCACGAAGTAAAAAGATACCTCGAAACTCGAGAATATATGGAAGGAGCATCTATCAATGATAAGAAATTTCTAAGGAGGTTCTCTATCAAGTTCTTTCTGAGTAATGAAATCCTGTACAAGCGCAACCACGGTTCGACTTTGCTTCGTTGTGTAGACAAGAAAGAAGCTAAGAAAATTATGGAAGATATGCACGAAGGAGTCTTTGGTATCACTCTAGTGGGCATACAATGGCTAAGAAGATTCCGAGAGCGGGTTATTATTGGTCTACTATGGAAATTGAGTGCTATCATCATTCCAAGACTTTCCACAAATTCCAGATTTATGCTGGCAAAGTACATGTACCTCCGGTCCTTTGAATGTATTGACCGCTCCTTGGTCGTTTTCCATGTGGGGCATTGATATGATTGGAGATATTAAGCCTATTGCTTCCAATGAGCATCATTTCATCTTGGTCTCTATTGATTACTTCACGAAGTGGGTTAAAGCAGCCTCATTTGCTTCCGTTACAAAGAATGTTATGGCTTGATTTATTAAACATAACCTTATCTGTTGGTATGGAATCCCTGAAAGGATCATCACGAAAAATGGTACCAATCTTAACAATACTATGATCACGGAACTCTGCACGCAATTCATGATTAAGCATCACAATTCTTCTTTGCACCGACCAAAGATGAATGGCACAGTGGAAGCCGCCAATAAGAATATCAAGAATATCTTGTATAAGATGACAGTGACATACAAAGATTGGCATAAGATGTTACCAATTTCTTCATGGTTATCACACTTCATTATGTACATTAATTTGAGCAACCTCGTTCTCTCTAGTCTACGGTATGAAGGATGTCTTACCTGTTGAAGTCTAGATTCCTTCCCTAAGGATTATAAAAGATGCAGGTTTAGATGAAGACAATTGGAGTCAGATTCGACTGGACAAAATAAATTTGATCGATGAAAAAAGGCTTGCATTTGTTTGACATGGTCAGATGTATCAGAAACGTATGTTTAAAGCCTTTAATAGGAAAGTCAAACATCGGGTATACCGGGCTGGTGATTTGGTAATAAAGCACATTATCCTACCCCAAGGTTATCCCAGGGGCAAATGGACTCCCACATACGAAGGGCCATTTGTGATCAAAAAAATATTTTCTAGTGGTGTTATGGTACTTACTACCATGGACGGTGAATATTTTCCACACCCTCTGAACGCGGACATAGTCAAAAAATACTACGCATAAAAGAGATCCGCTAGGTTGACGGGCCTAGGAAAAAGTAAGGGCATCCCGGCGAATCAAAAGGGTTCAGGCAAAAATTAGGGATATATATATAAAAATATTGTACATCCAGAAAGTGGAAAACCTAAAAAGGCAACTTGGGAAAAAAAGGATATCCCGATGGACTGAAAACCCGAAAGGGCTGTCAAGGGAAAAGTTAGGAATTAAAGAGTATGACTATGTCCCATTGGATCACCCATATACTTACAACCAGCTTCATTACTAGCGTCAAGATCAAACGCTACAGAATAATTGAATCATCTTCTTTCAACAACAAGTGATGAGATGCTTGAAGACATAGGGGTAATAACAGATTTGAAACTTGATGGGATCGTTTCCACGTAGCTGTTTTTCCTTGATTTCTTTGTACCCTTTCTTCATTCTTACGACGACTTCCTCTTACTAGGATTTCTGTCTCTTTGTATAAAACTGCCTGTTTATAGGCAAACTTTCATAATCAATGCAATTAGATTTCAAAATTTAAAATTGTTTTACTTTCTCTATTTTGTTTGCAAAAACGTCCAATGATTACATTGAATGAACAAATGCATATGAACATGATTACTGTTAAAAAATATATACATAAAAAGCCGGATTAGAATTTACTAAAGACTCTAGGAGTTGGGATGATGTTCAAGTCATCCATAAATCTCCACAGAGCAATCTCCAAGGAATTATCTCTACATAGATATCTTCACAAGCTCATCCTCAACAGAGATATATTCCCCAGAAAATCTAATATGCCATCAGACAGAAATTTGGGCATCTTCTAGCGGCTCACCTCTATACCCTGATGAATAGCTCGACATGATCATCTCCCCTAATAGGCCCCCTAACGGATAAGGAAGTTTGATCATTTCCCCAGCATACGGCGGAAACTTCCTTAGTGTAGCCTATAAAATCCTGATCCCCATCAGAGATTATTTCCTCAACACAGTTTACGGGGTTTATTTCCCAACGAAGTTTATTTCTCTAATATTGCAATTCCCAACAGGATTCTCTTCCCCGGCCAGATGTCATTCAACTTTATTCTCCCTAGAAGAGTTGGCATCCATATTCGAAACTTGGTCAGACAACACATCAGAGGATTATCCATCTCATTTATCCTCAGTCAAAG